TTTTGATATTATGTATAATGTGTTCAAGGGCACCCGTTCCGTTTAGGGGGGGAAATCAGTATGTGTTTGCCCCCTCAATTCGGGAATCGACACCTCTGATTGGATCATTGCATAGAGCGCGCTAAGTGCTTTGTATGTGTGGAAGCATGAGCACGAATCTCAAAAACGCGGGTCAATTTTGCCGAGTCAAAGGCAGCATACAAACGTCCATGTAAAAAATACATCAGAAATGACACACATTCAAAATGTCAATATCACGGCCCGACCTGACGAACGAGGAGCGCGAAGCCATCCTTCGGGAAGTCCTGATCCAAAGCATCAACATTTTTCCCACACTGCTGCCTAAATGCACAAGTCAGTTGCTGGCTGCAAAGCTCCCGTGCCGCATGTCTACAATAGAGGCTCTTGCACAACGAACAGCGCTACGTACAATCTCTGACAACACTGGTATGACAGAATTTGCGACTTTATCGAAGCATTTAATTGACTTGAGTCAGTAGTGCCCGCTCAAGGACCAGCATCGAGCGGTGTGGACGAAGGTCTATGAGGCGAGGAGCCTCGACGAGCTGGCCCGAGAGCTCGAGTGCATTGCCCTAAGCGACAGTGAGGCAACGGGAGATATCATCTCTGCAATGGCCGATGTAGGAATAGAACTAATATGCATAGACATGAATAGTGATGAATAAGTATATACAAACATGTGCGGTGCGGGTATTGCGTGAAGTTGAAAGGCTCGGTAGAACGGTTCTCGAGGTAAACCTCTCTCCTGAATCGAATGGAACTATCAGAAATGGTCTATTCCGACTTTTGATTGGTTCTGAGACAAATATTTTGAAGTACTGGGGTATTTGATTGGACTGCTCTATCCGTACACCTTTTGAAATTCAATTCGAGTATAATGTCTTGAAGTGACTGTATTTTGATTCGAAGAGGAGTACGCCATTTTTCTGAGTCGCGCAATTTTTGTGGGACAGAGGGAGTAACATATACGAATTTGGATGGTTCAT